ATGGGGCTTAAGTTCGCCTCTGTCTGTGTGTGTGTGTGTGTGTGTGTGTGTGTGTGTGTGTGTGTCTCTGTGCCCCTTCAGGCGTGATAGTATCTACACCTACAGGAAGTACAGCGTATGCAGTGGCAGCAGGAGCATCTATGATCCATCCCAACGTTCCCGCCATCATGATCACCCCCATCTGCCCACACTCGCTCTCCTTCAGACCCATTGTGGTGCCGGCCGGGGTGGAGCTGAAGGTATTTACTCTGACTGTTTGAGTCTTTCAACGAGGTAGTTGGCTTTTGCACTGACATCAGAGGTCAAGGCATTAGCTAAATCAGATGCATATCACATACACGTGCTACTACAACAGCTAGCACTTAAGTTACATTATGATAAAGTCTGACTGTGAGTTTTACAGACTGAGACCCCAAATTATTCAAAAAAGACCATTACGTTAGAGGTAAATTAAACTAACTTGTACAGTAAAAGTTCTCATTCCAGTTGAGCAAATTTGTGAAAACAAACTGGTTCTTTGTGTGACTTTTCTTCATTCTTTGCTTGTTGTTTTTTAGATAATGCTGTCCCGTGATGCCAGAAACACAGCCTGGGTGTCATTTGATGGAAGAAAGAGACAAGAGATCTGCCATGGAGACAGGTTAGTCCACATACCTAGCTGATCATCACACCTCAGCCACACAAAACAGCGAGCAAGGCTGAGTAAATGGAGCAAAACAAAGCCCACCCACTCGGTAATGGATAAGTTTAACTCCTCCAGCCGCTGCCTCAACACTTACTGGCTTTGTTACGTAACCTTTTCAACCTGCTTAATGGGCTTGTGGCCAGGAGTGTCCCCTATGGAAGATCCAGCTTCTTCCTTTATGTAACTCACCCAGAGATAATCACCTTCCTGATTCATAAAATGAGCTGCCAATCCTTTAGAGCTATTAAAGAGTGCTAAACAAATACCCAGTGTTGCTTCAGAAGGAAGTACTGTTACGACATCTTATGTCAACATCTCTTTTGTTTCTGTGATTGCAAATACCTGGACTTTTCTTTCCCCGTTCGGCCATCGCCCTTTGTAACAAAAAACCATTTCTGATTAAGTTATTTTTTTCCCCATCCCTGTTCCAGTATTACCATCACCACTTCCTGCTTCCCCGTTCCTTCCATCTGTTTCCGGGACCCGGTCAACGACTGGTTCGAGAGCCTGGCCCAGTGTTTACACTGGAACGTGAGAAAGAAGCAGAACTACCTCAGCTCAGAGGACGAGGAATTCTGAGTCCGTTTCCACCATCTATGAGGTCTTCTCCAAGGTCTCTAGGACTCTCAAGTCTTGGTTTTAACTTGACCATGCTCTGTGCCATTTTGTCTTTTATGGATGGGGGGGTCTCACCAAACTCTATTCAGAAAAATCTTTCATGATAATGTTGCCATTCATATGTATTAAAATGTTTCTATCGAATAATGTGGTACATTAACAAGCGTTGGGCCAAACAGCACCTTTGCTGCGGTCTCCATGTTTTATTTTGGTGGAATCTATGTGTGGGAGTAAGAGGTGAACTATGAAACCCAAAAGAGTTCGATAAAATGAAATAAAAATAGCATTAAATAAATATGGTGTTATGAAAATATGCATTATGAAATAACTTAAACGATTAAACCTCAAATCATTATATAACATGTTTTGGTGACAGTGTTGACTTAAAAAGTGAGATTTTAAAATAACTGAAACAAAAAAAGGAAATGGGGGGGAAAAATTATACATTATACATAATACATTTCTAATTATAAAAAAAAATCACAATTTATTGGAAACTTTTGGGCTCGGAATCTGAACGATGAGCCTAATGAAACTCACTCATGTTACTCTGAGAATTGGGTTTACACCAAGTCACCCACTAAAGTTTTACCTTTTTATGTTGGAAGTATGCCGCATTAATGAGGATATTATGTCATGTTCTAATGTGTAAGCACGTTAAAATGGTGGATTTTTGAATGGAGTTTGGTCCCGCTATTGTTCCAGGATTGTCCCTGTGTTTTCTTTTGTATGCTGTGAAAACTGGCCTTTTGAAGTCCAAATGCAGTTTTGTAGAGGAGGTTTTTTTGACTTCTTCTTGGACTAAAATGCACAAGGTCAGTTGTGGATGGCAGTTACTGCAATACTCTTGATGGGGGTTATCAGGTCTGTTCTAGCACTTTTTAATCTTTAGGAAGGATGGCAGGGACACATCTACTACTTAATAAACAACAAAAGCTGGTTTTCTCAGTAGAGGGGAAAGGCCACATTGCAATTCTCTGGAAAATTCCCTAAAAAGTTCAGTTGAATCAAACTTTCCCGAATTCCATCAATGGATAAAATGTTTTACACAATTTATGAAGTGCTCCCGGGGAAGAGCAGATTTACAGTACATTACTTGGCAATAGTGGCCCAACTGTACAGACTGTGCCTTAAACACTGGTATCATTAATGTATAGAAATATTATTTTTCAAGGTTTACATCATGGTAATTTTTTTAATCACACACAGATCTGTGATTTGTGCATTTTCATTGTAACCACATGTTGACTGTTGTCTTTGCTGTCTGCAGCACATGACACTTGATTGACTAACTGAATTATGTAGTATGCTCCATAGTGTGTAGTCGTTGGATGAGGTGTCAAGAATGCAACAAGGTGATATTAATTCCAGGCAAAGAGACCACAGTTCAGATGTCTTCAGCATATTTTTTAACATTTTAAAATGTCCTCTAAGCCATAGCTGAACTCTGTAGGTTTTATAGACCAGTGTGTGTGTGTGTGTGTGTGTGGGCTGTGTGTGATTTAATGGTCTGTGTATGTTGTTGCATTCGTTCTTATCAGTTCGCTCCAAGTCTGTCACTGTGCAGTCTTTGCTGAATACTTTAAAGTGGCCTATCTTGCATATCTGTTCACCTATAATGTCTAGGCGTTGTGAGTTGGCTCAACAAATTGTGTCAGGGTGAAAAGATGAAAAGTGGTGTCACCTGTTTTAACTCTCAAGTGGACCAGCTCTAAAAGGCAATCATTCCTTTAACTTTAAATGTATATATATATATATATATATGTGATGCTTGAATAGGATGTATTTTGTAAAGTCTATATGTTTATTAACCAGTTTACAATGTATCATTGCTGAAAATAAATCTATTTAGTACTTTTTTACATTACCAAGTTCTTCAGTTAATTCTTTCTGTTTTAGCAGTTCTGATTCTCTAACTCAAATTTTCTCTGTAATTGGTCAAAGTGCAGTAAAGTACATTCACATAGAACCAAAGCTTATTCAAAATGCATTTCAGGACAACTTGAATATTGTAATTTTCAGATGAAGTCGTATAATCCATGTGTCCAAGCAGATACTGGCAGCCAGTGTGGTTTGTTTCAAATATTGGACTGAACTGTTGAGTCCCAGTTAAGCCCAGCTCTACAGATAGCTCTGACTTTCTGTGAAGCATTGTCAACTCTTCTCTTAAAGTGCTTTTCACTTTTGTAACTCTGAGAGCCTCTAACTCTGACTTTTGTATTGGTAAGTTTGTTAATGTTTCTTATATGAATCATGCTATTTTTCTTTTTCCAGAGCACTTTAATAAACAGAGAAAAAAAACTGAAACCAGGAAGTGTGTGTCCTCCTGTTTGACACCTGAATTCAGTTATGGGGTTTATGTTATAAGTCATGGGAAAGTGGTGCAAGTCATGCAGTCCATTAGCAGTATCCACCAAGTTGTGGAAAAAGTTTAAAAATAGAAAAGTTACCAGAAGTGTGCATAACATGTCATAGAACTCAAGTTACAGCCAAATAACTTCATTTTCATTCTTCTTACTGAACAATAAATCAAAACATCAGTCTTGGTTTCATATTTTATTAAGAACCTTGAATAAAAAAGAAACACTTGTGCAATTGAGTGCATTAAGGTGCAGCAGGAGGTTAAGTTAAAAAAATATATCCCAATGAGGCCCAAAGTTGTAGCTCACAAGATTTAAGTTAGACAATCGCAGTTTAAAAAGCAGAGTAAAGTTAGTTAACCTTAAAGTTATTCACAGGAAGGAAAGACAGAGAGCTTTTAAGATAAACTCCTTTTCAAATTGTCCGCCACTTAAAATCTTTGGTGCCTTCAAACACCAATGGGTTCAGCTATTACAGTGCATATAACAGTAAAAAATACTATGAATCCAATCTACAAAGGCATTTATTGTTCATAGAAAAATGTTTCAAGGCAGCGGATATGTGTTGCTATAAGTCCTGTAATTAAGTGTTAGAAAATATAAAATATATACAGTAAAGAGTACATTAGGCTGGAAAGACCTAGATATGACAGATATGTTTGGTGGAGTTAATGTGGAATGAAACAATGAGCTCCATGGTCAGCACCACGGTGCTAAAGCTTCCCCTCAGCATGCAGCTGTGTCCTTGGTCCACGACCACTGCATGTTTTATCACTTGCTGGGTGCAAACACTGCAAAAAGAAGAGTAAGGTTAACGCCAACATTTTGGTACTCTGCCGCTTTGTAGCCAACATAAACAGGCTTAAGGCCAGGTCAGTCAGGAAAACTCAGGGACATGATCAAGACAGTATAACGAGGAAAGTGGTTTAGAAATCTGCCAGGAGATACTGATTAGTTAACATTCCCCTAAAGGAGCGTCTGTTTTGTCTTCAGCTCAACATTTGAAGGACTGAAACCAAGACAAGAAAAGCGGCATACTCACTCCTCTCCCTCAGGCCTTGGCCGAAGGTGTGCATAAGCCTGATGAGGCCCCAGAATAAAACTGCTTTAATCAACAGTGAAATCAAGGCTCCAGTGACAGCGGCTGCCTCCAGGGTGTACGTGCTGTCCTCATACCATTTCATTATCACCTGTAATTAAAGAAAACCAGAAGGGTTCCTGCAGGAATATACCTCTGAATGTACAAATCATCAAACTAATGTACACAAAGTATTTTAAATGATGAAAAGTACATTTAGTACAATTTACAGGTACAATTTTGAGGTACTTTACATGTATAACTTCTATTTTATATATTTTTTTGATTTTTTATTTCTGCTCCGCTATGTTTCAGAGGACAATATTATACTTCTTACTCCACTACATTTATTTGACTTCTGTTACTGTTAAATTACTTTGCTGATTACACTAAGCCGGTGATACCTGAAGCCAAAGATATATCAACTTTATTGTCCCCTTGGGAAAAACCTTTATTTACTCAGTCCAGTTTGACTCAGTCCCACATCCAGCTGCTGTAAATACTCACTAAATTATCAAATGTGTATTAATCCTCGGCTAAAAATAGTCCTCAATGCTGTTTGAGTAACGTTTGCTAAAACACTACATTGCCAAGAAATGCAACATAGTATTCATAGGTGTGTTTTCATTAGTGTATCGCCTGAAATAAGACTGGTTGTGTTTTTGTTACTTTAGATGAAACATTTTATCTACATTCCTATTTCCTCTTCTGTGGAGCCCACCACGTTTCTACAGTAGCCCAGATTGGACAAACCAAACACTGGCTCTAGGTTTTATTGCGTTTTTTGCGAGTTTTGCGGCCACTGGATGCTACTGAATCATACACACTGGCCCTTTAAATGTCTGTGTTTCAGGAGAAGCATCCTGAAATTACTACAACACTACAATGTTCTTTGGGAAAGCCACTCCTGCGTAAATGACCACAGACTGAGTTGTGCATGGATCAGTATTTGTACAAGCTGCTTCATAAAGCATTTTGTGCTCATATGCATAGAAACTCATTGTCAGCTCACCGTGTACATCAGATAAACAAAGAAGGCCACTTGAGGAAGGTTCTGCACCATGAAGATCCAAACTAAGACCTTGGCTTCCTTTAAAACCTGAAAAACAACAAGTAATTACAACTACTGCCCGCTTTTGAATTCGACCACAGATACTCTGAACTGTTTCGACTGCATCTTGTGTGATATTCTCCTCATTAGTTTATGAGCTGTGTGAAGAGCAGCATCGTGGATAAGTAGCACTCACAGCAACAACCCCGACAGCGGCAGTCAGGCAGGCCCACACCACCCCGACGCCCATGATGATGCGGTCGGGAGCAGCGGGCATGGCCGAGTCCGACGTCATGATCAGGATGCACAGACACAACTGAAACACACCAACAACAGCACATCATTAATAAAGTCAGTAGCTCACTGGAAGAGATCCCAACAAATGCTCAACAAACACTTGAGGAGCAACGTGTTGTCCTCCAACAACAGTAGCAGCAGTTGACCTGAAAAAAAACCCAAAACATAAAATGCAACGTGCAGCAATGCACCTGCACACAGCGTCTGACTCAACCAGAAAAACTTGCTCTCTTGCTGATCGCCACAGCTGTTATTACTGTCTATATGTTCACAACAAATCAAATCACATGCAGCAGCAGGTCCAAGCATGTTTTCTGGAGACAGTTCAAAGTCTTCCTAGGGCACATGGCAAATCTCTGATTGAGGCTGGATGAGGGGAATCTGCGTCACCACAAAGGGAAATCCAAACAATCACAAGCAAGGCGCTACAATTCACAGACTGATGATTTATGTAACAGCCTGAAGTCTGTCTGATGGAGGAATTTACCTCGCTAAAACACCCATATGAACAGCATTATGTTAGGAACAACTCATTTGGTCACAAATATTACCTGATCTTAGTAAACTGTTGGAAAAAAAAAACACTAAAACACTAAAAAATGTCACTTGTTAAAGGAACAAAACAAACAACACAGTTACTATCCTGTCACATGTTTGTATGGAGGAATGCACGTGTACCTGAGCCTGAAAGTCAAAGGTCACCATGGAGAAACAAAGGTTAAGCAGAAAGTATTGCTCCTGGAGCCTGTTCAAGGCCCCGCCCACACGGAACGCCATCATGTTGGGCCTCTGGATGAGCAGCAGGGTGCAGATGACGTGGAACAGGCCCAGACTCATGATGCACACGAAACGAACCTGCGACCAAAAAACAGATCACAGCGGCTGATTCAGTTTTCAATGTGTATTTCTACATCCTTATACAATCCTGACGAGTGGTTTGACTCATGATTGATCAAATGATTTAGCATCAGCCATTATCCAGTCAGAGTCAGAGTTCCAAAGATTAACTTGCAGTTTGTTTTCAATATTCACATCCATGTTCTCAACTGGATGTAACTCACACACACAACAATAGTGACATCAAGTGGTGGAACCTTACACTCATTTAAACAGGATGGAAGCTATCTACTGTTATTTCCCCTGTCATTAATAAAGGGGGATTATTAGCAGCAACCAGCAGCTAGTCTGAATCACTGCGTCAGTGCGGTTGGTGTGCTGCTTCTACAATGTACAATCTGATCTTCTCATTATATTGTCTTTTTTTAACAGTTTCAGTTGGGTTTACTTTTTAAAATCAGACAGCTCTAACATTTATCACAATGTTCATCAGTCGCCTTCAATCATTATGTGTGCTCTCAGCAATAAAGCTTCAATGGCGGTAGCGAGTAATTATTAGACACCATTACACTGCTAGATGCTACTAAATCCTACACACTGGACCTTTAAAATGTGTTTTCATTTCCAGTTATTTTTATATTCTCCTACAGCTGCTGCTGAAAAAGCAACATTAAAACAACCTCCTGATTCATACAGATGTCCTATTGTCCTCCCTCTGTATGTCAAGCTGTCCAGATACAGAGGGACAGTTAAAGCTCAGGTCTGACCTCATCTTTTGCGACAAGAGTGAGGGCTCTATCGTAATATTGATGTTTTTAAGTTTTTTAATACTGATTGTTTTTAGCGTATACATATAGGTGGGCGTAGTATAGTATTTAAAAAGAGTTAAGAATTAGAAGACTAACTGAAATCTTAAGAAATTGTGTATACTGATTGAATGTATGTTAATTTCAATGTGTCTTGTTTTTAACAATCTGTGTCCACGCTGGAAGTTAGTGTTATCTCTTGGATTCTTGTTGCTTTGTAAATCCATAAATAAATTTAAAAAAAAAAGTCAAATGAATACAAGATTCAGAAACTGCTGGAGACAGCTCTTCCAAAGCTGTGTTTTTATTGTAAATATGTGAATGATTGTTAATCATAAATGCTTTAGGCGAAGGATCTGCCACGGGCCACTCCATGTGCCGTGTGCTGTCCAGTAGAGGGCGACCTACCAGCAGCTCCTTCTTGTCCTTTGACCCCAGCACGGAGAAGTTGACCACCGAACGAACCATCACCACCAGCATGGTGAGCACAAACGCTACCAGCTCCTGTCTGTTCTCCTGCAACACGCCCCGGCTGATGTAGTAGAGGCCGAACACTGCAGGGCAAACAATGCAGGAGTCATTACAATTATCTGACTGTACATTCCTTACAATGCTGCAGGTACAGAAGACGACCTTTCAAATTAAACTGCACCAACAAATCTGTCATACTCACCAGCATAGCTAAATCTGTGTGTATGCAGAAGTTACACAGTCTGTATTCTCATGACGGATTAAGGAAAAAACATGTAACTGACAACGATTATGACTATAAGAGCTCTAACTGTCATATATTCTCTTAAGTTGGTTGGTCAAATTTTAATAATATAATAAGGTGTTACACTCATGTTAGGATGACTCAAACATTCAGATTCATGTATTCTTGTGATGGGAAACTTGAAATAAAGTTGTTTAAATAAGAAGAAAGAAAAACTTCTGCTTTTTGCAGTTGGCTGTTAACTGGGCGTGGTGTGCCATCAACTTCCTGCTGATGGAGTGACGGTACTCACATATTCCAAACAGCTGTATGAGAGATACGGTGAAGTTGTCCTCATCAGACACATCTGTGTCCATGTTCTGCTTGTAGATGCTGGACGCGGTGAGGCCGAGCAGCACCAGCAGAGACACTATGGTGAAGCAGAAGTAGAGCTTGAGCAGACATGACAGCTCCGACCAGCGCTTTATCTGCAAGAGGAGACACGGATTATACATCTCAGGGAATAAATAAAGACGAGTTTAAGAATTATTTCCCAAAACAGCAGTTCAAGTATGAAAATATAAACACAGTAAGGCTGAGGGACTGGGGTTTCTGGGACTGTTAATGGATTTTGTATTTAATAAATGCAGTAAAAGGATTTACTGATTATGATGATGATATTTGTATCACATCCACTTCATTTTTTAGTTCATCAAAATTAAACTGAACTTGACTTCTACTTTCAGAATTACTAATGTTTTAGGTTTTTTTTCCCCTCCTGCAGCAGCTCACCGGTCCACATGGTGTTGGGATCAGTTCCTGGTGCCTCGGCCTCAAGTTTGGAGACAGAAGGTCTGAGCCCTCCGGTGGCTGCCCAGAAATCTGGTTGCCCAACAAAGGACTGCAGTGTAAAAGAAAATAATTAATAAATGATACCCTGGTGCAGTTTCTTCAAAGCATTGCAGAGACTGAGAGATACAGTTGTTTAAAATATTCCTTCTGGCCACTAAATTATGTTCTGCAGCCCTGTATTACAGATACAGACCGAATACGGCACCAAACCACACTGAGAATATGGGTGATTTCATGTAAATACTACAGTGACTTCTGAGTAACAGACACACTGTAAATAGAGACGTTAAAATATAAAATAAGACTGTATAAAAGGAGCAAAGCAACCAACTGCAAGCACAGGATAACCACTGTTATCACCTGAGTGTTTAAAGACATCTTAAAACACAACCAAATGGACTTTCGAAGTAAGGAAATAAATAAGCTTCTATAGCAGGTTTCTAGAGTGAGTGTTTTACAAGACAATAAAACGAGAGCATGAGACACTTAAACCAACACGACACACAAAACGTCAATAAAAGATTTCAGGCTCCATTAAAAAAACACACAGTGCTGACAGACCCACTGTCTACAGGAGGGCCCCAATGAACCCAGGGGGCCACAACTCCGAGGGCTTGTAATAATAATAATAATAATAATAATAATCATAATAATAATAATAGTTTTACTTGTAAAGCACTTTTCAAGCTTAAGCCAAGTGCTTTCCAGATTAAAACATATACAGAAGTGTTGTGAAACAAGGACAGAGAGAATTTACATATGAGTCAGCTTCCCCATCATGCTTTGCATCAACTGACTGTGGTACAAGGCGAGCTGGAAGTTGTGAAACATGGGACGATGGGAAGAGTCAGTTTTAAATTAAAATAAATATCATGCATCGGATGATTAGTACTGACTTCTATGTTAGTGGATTTACCATCAGCACTCACTCACAATGATAATGGGTTTATGTGTAGGAACAAAGTGAAAGTAGGACAGAAAAGAAATACATGAAGGAATCCAATGGTCAAATACATATAGCATAAAAATGAACAACTATGTAGTAACAATGAATGATTGTAGATCTATTAAATGAACACAGAAATGAATTAACAGATCCATAAAAACACAGACTTTATCAGAACCACAGCCAACAGGTGAGGCACAGACTATAAACACATACTTTATATACAGACTATGATAATAACGCATTGTGACAGTTTATATTCCATTTAAACAGCCTGTTGTTGAATATAACGTCATTCATTAATGATATTAAACAGGCTAATATCCTTTTATTTCCTGATGAGGCAAAGCAGCGAACAGCACAGACACAGTGAGGATTCACCCTCCAGTCTCACACCGACCTTAACTCGTCCATCTCTTCAGGGGCAGCAGGACCGACCGGAGCTTACATCGCTGCGACTCCCAGCTGACCAACTTCACTCAGCCTCACGTTGAACACACCGGAAGAGCCAGCTGACGACTTCTTCTTCTTCTTCTTCTTCTTCTGCTGCTGCTTGGTTGCTCTTCCTCTTGGCTCCACCAACGTGCTGCTGCCCCCTGGAGGACAACAGAGAGCCTCCACTTCCGCTACTCGGAGATTTGACAATTAAGTGTCATTATAACGTTTATAATGTTGATTGTTTGTGTTTGAGTAGCAAAATCAATCACTTTTAACGTTTGATTTGATTGTTGTTATTTTGTGTTGGTGTGTTTGTGACTCTGGCTGCAGAATGTGTTGAGGATCGTGAGTGTTTACTGTGTTTATATATACAGTCAATGGTGTTTACTGCCATCCAGTGGCCACAGTGATGAACTACAACTAACACATTGTTGGAGATGTTGGGGCTAATCATGTACTGCAACCCTGACTCACTGTAAAACCCCCTTTACAGTAAATAAGTCAAATAAACATTTACAAAGACAACAGTGACACTGATCTGTGGTTAGTGCTTGTTATGGTCATTATATAATGAGTTTGCTGCTGGCAGACCGATGTTGTCAGTGTTCTTGTACAATGTGAGCTGGCAATGTAAAACTGTCAAATGAATGTAATCCTTATCAGAAATACATTTATCCCCAGCGGAAAATGGGTTACGTTACAGATGCTCCCAGTCTAGAACAGAAAGAGCAATTATAAGACAAATAGAAAATAAGAAATAAGAAATGCAGGTACAAATGTATATCAATGTAATTACTCCAAATTGAAAATAAAAATCGTAACACAAATGTTTTTAAATTGCAGGTTGTTTGTCTGTCTGGTCTAGTGGCCATTAGAGTTGTTTATACCCCTGTTATAGCCATATATTTATGCTGATCTTGTACTCATGTTAAAGTCAGTTATCAATATATATATGGTTTCGAATAACGAGTGTTCATTGCCCTCTAGTGGTCGCAATACTGAACGACAACACACATATACACACAGACATACATTACATTATTATTATTGATGATATGAGTTTTTAGAAATGCCTTTTCAAATCAAATCTAAATGAGCAATTTTAAAATTACCACAACCGAACTGACCCAAAGTTTTTTTTATGACAATTATTTTGAAGCACTATTGTTTCGTGGCAGCTCCGTCAAGTTGAAATGAGTCTTACCGGAAACGCAGAGATTTTAATATGTAAAATAAAAGCACGTTTTTTTTTTTATTCAGGCGAAAGTGAATCATTTAGAATCAAGTTTACCTCACAGTTAAAAATGCACATCTAAAAAATGTTCAGAGCAATCAAAAGACAAAACGAGTGTGAACCTACGCTGAATATTAGCTAGGGGTTATTATGTGGATATTATTTTACTTTTAATTTGAAGGGTTGTACCGGTATTCGGTTGTTGTTGCGGGTTAGCTTGACACTGCGAAGTGATCGTTGTTAGCAGCCACGTCTCAAAGTCAGGTGCACAGATATGAGCAACCAGGTAGACAGGTACATGTGAGTGTGCAGTGTTATCTGTCTCACCCACAGCCGGGCAGTATGGCTGATAGCACGCCTGGCTTTATAACGTTAGCTTCCACTCCTTCACATCCAATGTTGCCGCTGCTGCTAGCTAACGTCAATGTGCAACTTCCTCCTATAACGCTGCTTACGGTGTTTTTCCGTCTTAATAATTGAAGTGTCCAAATTCAAAGAGAGGTAAGAGCTCGCCTTCTTTACATTTTGAGTCTGCGTGTTACCCTGCCAGAAGAAAGCTAGCTGCAAACTTAAACTGTTGTCTGTATGATTAAAGCTAACGTTACATTGTTTGCTTATTGAGAACAAAGCTCTGGGCGTTTCTGCATCTGTGAACCGCTCTTTATATCGCCAGTGTTAACAAACCCAGGCAGCACAGATTTGCATTGAGGTTTGCATTGTGTGGTTCAGTCTTATTTCAGCAACATGCACAGCTTAGAGGCTAAAACCACTGCTCCCTGTCATATGTTGTGGCTGTGTTTATGTCAATTTGTAGTAGTGAAAAGAAGTAAAAAGAGTATGCATCTGAAGTAATAGTAATGGATATTAATAAGCATTATGGGATTGTTATTTTCTGTAAAATATCAGACCAGCAGCTGCAACAAGTGGATCAACAGTTAATACATGTGTGATACCAAACAGTGAGTTTCCATCCTGTAACGCTCACATTGACTGTTCACTCTGTGTCTCTCACCTGACTGTTCTCCAGGACAGTGGACATCAGGACCTGAACGCATCCCCAGCATTTATTGGAAGACTGAGAGGCTGATCGATTGCTGGACCAATCAGAAGATGGACTGACATCGAAAACTCTCATCGTTCCCCTCACCTCCCTCTTATCACCCTCCTGTTGGGCCCCTGGGGGCCCTCAGGTAGCAGGCGTGATGCCAGGCAGCAGGCAGACCGCTAGGCACCCGTTGTGGCACCTCCTGTCACCGTTCCGCACCCGCCAGGAGCGAGTGGTTCTGGCCCGCAGCGAGAGCCTGCCTGGGGAGCAGGTGCTGAAGATCACAGTCACAGAGACCACGGTGATCGAGGCCGAGTCAGGGGTGTGGAACTGGCGCTCCATGACCTACCTGGGCCTCTGGTACTTCTTCAGCTTCTGCACCCTGTTCCTCAACAAGTACATCCTGTCGCTGCTGGAGGGGGAGCCTAGCATGCTGGGTAACGAGAAGGAATAATATACATCTGTTACTACTAATATTAATGTTATTAACTAGACTGAATAGGGCATGGGACTTGTACGTTATTGCTTTGTATGATTTTGGTAAAATCTTATAGGAGATTTTGTAGGTTGTAGCTCTGTAACTATATATTGCATTTCTAGTGTTACTGTATTTCTAAAGCATACCATGAGTCTACGGTTTGCTTCCTACCCTCCAGGCATGTAAAACGGCTTGTTTTGGGAGAGGTCATGTTACAGAAACATGAAACATGTTTGAGAGGCGTTATCATTTCAGTGAGCAACCTTTTCTTATTTTTGTCAAAGTTACACTATAGGGAAAAGTTTTTGAAAAAACGGACCTTTTCCACAATGACACCACATTAGCTTATTGTTTTTCGTCTGCAATCACTTATTCAAATTTAAATATGTCAAATGGTTCACTACATTGGATTTCCTAACTCCAGCGTGTTCATGTCACTAAGAAGATTTTTGTCATTCAGTTCAATCGACACCTTACATGCTGCAGGTGTTTTGTGGCTGGAGCTTTTGTTGTCTTGCTGACTCATTCCCATGCTCCGCAGGTGCTATTCAGATGCTCTCCACCACCGTCATAGGCTGCCTTAAGATGTACGTTCCCTGCTGCCTGTACCAGCACAAGTCCAGAACTGAGTACCCCCCCAACTTCATCATGATCATGCTGTTTGTTGGACTCATGAGGTGGGTCCTCTCTCTCTACACTGCATGATTTCTAACAAATATTTTAGCTTCCAATAAAGTAGTACAGTCTTAATAATGGATTTACAAATGCAAGCCCAGTCTTGATCCCTTGCATGACTCCCTTTGTTAGGTTCACCACGGTGGTTCTGGGCTTGGTGAGCCTGAAGAATGTGGCGGTATCTTTTGCTGAGACAGTGAAGAGCTCAGCACCCATCTTCACTGTTATCATGTCCAGACTGATCCTGGGGGAGTACACAGGTAACGGACACACTGATGGATGTCTGTGTGAGGGTTCAGGGTATAAAATGTCAGGATACCAGATATTTAGGGGACACTAAAGGGACACTGCATGTATCCAAAGTGACATTGACACCTCTCTAAAACCTTTCTCTATTCCGTTTACTTCATGCAGAGTAAAAGGGAAATCTTTTGTTTTTTTTCCAGTCACCATTACAAATGTCTTTTATGTAACTCCCAACAACAACAATTGAAGTAAGGAATGTGGTCGTACTAGTAGGAGCATGGCATCAGGCCATAGCTAATGTGGTTCTAAGTATTGTGTACACTATTTGTTCTGCTACCTGCAGGTCTGTGGGTGAACCTGTCCCTGTTCCCTGTCATGGCCGGCCTGGCCCTCTGCACAGCTACGGAGATTAGCTTCAACATGCTCGGCTTCTCCGCCGCTCTCTCCACCAACATCATGGACTGGTACTGCAGCTCTCAACGCAGCTATCCCCCCACAGCAGTGTGATGCTTTGTTTAACCCCTTTGTCTCTGATCTCAGTTTGCAGAACGTATTTTCCAAAAAACTGCTAAGTGGAGACACATACAGGTTCAGGTAAGACTGTGTTTACCCTCCTATTCATATTGCATCATTTAAAGCAATCAAACACTTATTATAAAAACTCTGTTGACCTATTTCAGCCCTCCAGAGCTGCAGTTTTATACTAGTGCAGCAGCAGTCATCATGCTAATCCCTGCCTGGGTGTTCCTCTTGGTAGGTCAACACACAATTGCTACAATTATTATAGTATTGAGTTATTGTAACAGTAAGGCAAGTTGTACTTTAAGTCTGTAGTAGGTCATTTTCTTAAATAAGAAGCCGTATGACATCAGGTGTTAGACAATGCAGTAGTAACGTTTACAGAAGAATAATTAAAACAAATAGTTAATTAATTCGGTTGTCGATGCTGATGGTTGTCGTGCTCCGTTTCCAGGACATCCCAGTCATCGGGAAGAGTGGGCGGAGCTTCATCGTCAGTCAAGACATTATCCTGTTGCTGCTTTTTGACGGCGGCCTGTTCCACCTGCAGAGCGTCACTGCCTATGCTCTCATGGGACGGATTTCACCTGTTACCTTCAGGTGAGGGAGACAGACACAAAACCCATTTATAACGTGGCTCTCATGCTTTTAACTGCTTATACCAGCAGTAGGTTTTGGTTTTCTGATGGAGCTGATAATTAAACACACTGTTGGCCGCTTTATTCTGTAAACATGCCTTGTGCTGAATGTAATCCCTTTTATCTCCAGTACAGCAGAGCTCTTGGTATGGGGCATCAACACGCTGGAAGATGGCCCCTGCTTCTGCCATTAAAGAGAACTGCAACGATTTTACACATCAGTGTCTGTTTATAGGTCTTAGGGAGTACTAGTGCATATTAAAAAGGTTTCACACATAGACATACGTGGCTCCAGAGGACGTTAACCCCTACTAGTATAACACACCTAATTGTCTTCAGTCAGGTTGTGAAATGTAAGCGATGTAAGCAAGAAAAACACACGTAATAGGAGACCTCTGGTCCTGCTGCTTTGAAAAAAAGAAAACTGTCCGTTGTTAATCCTATAGTGTTATAGGAGTGCCAAGCAAGTGGTGCGGCGCTCTATCTGAGAGGATATTCAGGTATTTGGGCTTAACAGGTTTTCAAACGTGTACCTTCCCACACCTGGCGTGGAGGGAGTGTGTGTGAAGCATAGTGTATGCCAAAAATCTTACTCGTTCTTTGAGTAATAACTCCAAGAATAAACGTCCATAAGTCTGCTTTGAAATAAGAGAAAAATGCTCCTTATACACCTCCTTATAACTCCAGAAGTTAACAGCTAATAGCTAATTCGGCTTTACTTTAATGGTGCCAGTTTGCCATGGAAACTTCCTGTTTACATCCCCTTAAGCCTCCAGATTATGGCAACTGTAGTTCCAATACTAAGAGCATGATTATGCCCCAAACAGAAGACAGAACAATAATATATGTATGTTAGTAAAGTGACTTCAGAAGGTACCCATAATATAGACTCTTGCTACTGTTGCTACGGTATATGAAAGCAGTTAGAGTAACCCGTTTATAATGGGAGTCTTACCCGTGTTAGTAATTAATAATTAACAGATACGGTCCCCCTAAGGCCATAGGTTGTATCATTTTTATTTGTATAACAGTAACAACCCTCCTCTCCTCCTCAGTGTTGCCAGCACTGTCAAACATGCGCTGTCGGTTTGGCTGAGCATCATCGTGTTCAGTAACCAGATCACCATCCTAAGCGCCGCAGGCACCTTCTTCGTGTTCATCGGGGTCCTCTTGTACAACAAGGCCCGGCAGATCCAGAGGCAAACCTTACATGCCATGGTTGCTGAGCAGAACCACAAACCACTACTTCAGGACCAGGACTTCCAAGCCCCTCAGTCTCACTGAGGGACTTAAAATGCTGCCTGAAACGAGATCATGGTATTAACAAAATTCTGTCTGCTTACCTGTGGCTGTCAAGATCTGATGACTGGATATTTGTCTGTTCTTCACCACACACACATTCCAGTTAAAGGGGACCCACTCGCGTTTTTCTTCCAGGTTTCAATTTGTTTCACTGTCGTGTCTTAAAACTCAAAGTAAACTCTGGTGACTGGCTTGGTATGGTCAGTGTCCGTATGACTAAGCCATCACTAGTCCTGTGGAACAGTATAAACAGTATTTCTTTGTCCATAACATACTTACACTTTAATCATCCTTGATCATTTCTTTGTATAATAACGGTCGGTAAAAGGAGATGCTCAGGGTGTACTTCAGCTTTTTGAAGGAAGTCTCTTCTGTAAGCTTTTTGTCTTACATTTGCATTTCAGAGTGTGCTGGTTTATCTCATCTGTGGTACAGCAGCTGCTGAATGTATGCTATTGTGAATATCTGTAAAGCATTTAAGCTGTACAATTGAAATTTTGTGACGGTGTAACCTACACTGTATTATACAATGTAAAATTGATCTTGATTGCATCTGAATTTAAGATGTGAATTGGGCACCAGTGCCTGGCTCATCCAGCCAAAGCGTAGACCAGCTGTTTGACACATTTGTAAACAATGTGTGGGACATTTGAAAGCAACATACTGCATTCTAGGAATGCTTGTGTCTACCGTTAAATGTTGCAGGCGTACGAAAGGGTTTTATGTACCTGTGCATCTTCTCTTTGTTTTTCTTTGTAAACTTACTGCATGCTTGGATAGCTGCCCTGGCAACCCTGAACAGGGAGAGAATTAGAATTAGAGAATGAATCGATCAGTAAGCTGCTGTATATTACACATTCATAGTCTTGATTGAAAACTGATTTATTACAACTTGGGTTTTATTTTCGTTTATGTCCGACAGAACCAACAAAAATAAACCCAACGTAATAAACCAGAGTTTTCCTTTCAACCAAAAGGCTTAGGCATATACCACTGGTTAAAGTGGCATATGCCAACTGTTAGTGAAGTTCATGATGAGAGATGCAACAACAGATGAAATTTTACGTCCTCATTGTCATTTTAGCTCCTTACGGTGACTGTGAAGTTTCTGTTTCTGAAATTAGTGCCACGTCGCCATCTTGCCATAAACATCCGGGTGGTGCCAGTTCTCACCATACTGCTTCAGTCATACTGTCTCCAGTCTAGTCCAGGCTTCTTTCCCAATTTTTCTGAGGTCAGTGACTTACAAAGTCCATCAGGTGTCTGATAGGACTAATCTGTGTTAATCGTTATCAGTCTGACGGTTAAGTGGTTCGGTGGTTTGTAAGCATTGTAGTAATGCTCCACTTTTGCATGTGCCTTGAGAAGCAGTCTTTGTCTTTTCTTGCGTTATCCCCACACTTACAAATCTGAGTTGTTGTTTTCTACATCTTCATTCTATATGGTTTTGTTGGAGAATTTCTGTCTCAGTTAAGTGCTTTTAAAAACAGGTGCAGGCTGAAATTCAATACCAATACCCTACAAATATATCTGTAATCTTCCATAGTGACTCTTTGGAATGCTGCTTCAGGGGGCAAGTTCAAACATGCAGAAGTGGCAGGCAGTTATGAACTGTATATTTGGGAATGTGCAAATAAAAGGTGTACAAATATTCACTCATGTGACTCTTTAAGTGAGGATGTAATGATGTTTGATGGACATTGTGCAGAGAATAAAAGTACTTTCTCTTCAGTACATTGTGAGTGTATTTGTATTTTAGGTGATCTCATGCTGTTTTGCATATTTACAAACACACTAGCATAATTATATTTAGTTTTTGGAAATACCCTACTCGTTCTATAGTTATTTTATCAGTGTTTTTAGAAATGATGCTGATAAGAGTAGTGAGAGTGAATCCAAACAGTTAGGTTGCAAAAAACAAAACAAGGTGCAAGATGCTACAAAGCTCAGCAGAGAGTCAGGAGAGAGAGAAAGAGAAAACAGAAAAACAGAAACATCAACATCCGCTGTCAAAGAAGCAGACTAAAACTGGTCACAGCTTTGGCCTCAGAGCAACACATGTAGGATCTCATTTCCAGGATGGGTAGACATGCAAAAGGTGCCGGAGTTTGTACAGATTATACGAAAGTAGCAGCATATTAAAATGACACAAATACTGTTTAATTAACTGAGTCTTAACAACTTTTCTGATCTTTACCCATTTTTGAATGCTAAAGGTCACGCAGAGTAGGGTTCCACCTACAGTTTGTTTGTATGTTGCCTTCAAATGCAATTTCTAGGGGGACTTTAACTAGAAGGACTCGAGTCACCAATAATGAAATCAACTACATTCTTTGTATTGTATATTTATTAGGAAATCATTTTCACTTTTTGTGTCCAGTTGACAAGAATAAAATGCTTTGAAATAAAAAAACAAACTATAGTAAAATATGTGTCCATATGCAACAAAGTTATAACGTTTACATTCACATTTTGTGTTAACTGGATTTGACTTCCAGTAAAAATGAGCAGCTTAACCTTCATGTCTTCCATCAAAAGTGGTTCAAGTCACAGGAGACTAATTAATCAAAAGTGTATCATAAATTGAAGTGTGTTAAGGTTTCTGACACTGGCTGGATGAGAGTTGACCTATTCCACGTAGACTTTAAAAGGTTTAAAACAGCATTTCAGGCTCATCGTGTTAAAACAAACAGTCTGTTTCAACTGATAATGTTAAACAAACCTGAGAATATCTGACCTACAGTCAAGTTGTGTGTGTGTATAGTAAAATCACAGGAAGAACTGTGAATGTGCGAGGCAAGGAGTGTATCGCACACTGTCGAGAGCGAGGCGGTCATCTCACTGGTGGACAGAAAGCCCTCATCAGACTCTCGTAACTGAGGAAGGTGACGGCGTTGACAGGGAAGGCCCTCAGGCTGTTCAGTAGGAGGCCTTTGAAAAAGACCCTCACTCCCTCCTCTCTGACGCTCACTCTCATGCAGTGGAGTACCCCGCTGTACTCCCGGCCGCCGGCCCCCGACATCTGCAGACGAGCTTTCACCACGTCCATGGGCGTTGCAAAAGCCCAGGTCACCACGCCCGCTAATCCACCGGCCATCAATATTGCAAACGTACCTGAGGACAGAGAAGTTTAGTTCATAGTGAAAATGTTTAAGGTCATGTGAGTACTGAGATTTTTGTTTGGTAGCTTTCATATGGACTTTGTTGATGTAGGTCATATAGAGGGATTAGTATTACATTGTTGATAACCAGTTACAAACTCCTTGTAGTACATTCAAGTCAAAGTTTTGACACAGTATCTCATAAGATTCTCATAATATTTTAGAATTTTGACACAGAAAGGTAAGACTAGCATCATTTTGATTTACCATGATTTAAAAAGAAATGTATTTATAATTTCTTTATAATGACCGTCGATATTTCCCACCCTGGTTACATATTTACTGAGAGTCAGTACTGCTGCACTGTTGACTCTGAAACTGACCTGGCTCTTTGCCAGTCTCGGTCAGAGCCTTTCGAGTGACTTCGTAAGGCAAGAAGTAGAGTCCATAGCAGGGTACGTCCCTCAGGGCGAGGGCCAGCCCTCCTCTGAACAGACCCCTGGGCCCTTCCTCCTTCAGGATGACGGCAACACAATGAATCGGTCCTCGGTATCGCTTGGCTGTTGCTTGACCCTGCAGTCGCACCTTCACCAGGTCGATGGGTGCACAAATAAACACCTGAAAGCAGATCACGTTAAAGACATAAAACATATGACATAAAGCCTTCAAAAACATACCATATTAAAAGGATAAGTCTGCTCATATTCTCTCTTTTTTTACTGTGAACAATTTCCATTAAAAGACTACAAACAACAAAGACTAACACTAAAATGCTTACTCCTCTGTGCCATAGAGCTCCATTGTTGTCCAAAAGCTATGAAATACACACCACGAGCCACACCGTTGCACTGAATTTCTGAAGTGTTTTGATGACAGTGGAGCTCATCTATCTGCAGGTACAATAAAACCATACATGCTCTCCCTCCATCAGCCAACTTCATTAGATTTTCCCCAACTATCAGTAAAACTGGCTGACATGGTTGGTATAACACAGATTTACCATATAATTACACCATCAAAAGTGTTTGTTGACCAGAATAAATATAAGTGTCATCCCCACTAGAAGCTACAATATGCATTACGTGACAGAACTCCTGACTCTTGTATCCTCTGGTGGCTGAGGCTGTTGTTGTTTGTCACTTGGTGCGTCTGTCCCTGCAGACTGTGGCTCATTTCACTATTCAGCCATGTTATGGCTTCATTAAAAATCTCTTTAAATTATAGTTACTGTGTACTTATTTTATGGAAACAGTATTTGTTCCTCCTGCTCTTGCTTTTTTTATGAGGAATTCACCGACGTAGAGCAGACCTCTATCAAATCCCTGCTTACATAGTAAGTAAATCTCATTTATGAAACACAACACCCACAGTAAAAGGTTCAGGTGCTGCCTTTCTCTTGATTCAAGAGCTCTCTCTAATCCTTAGTCAAATTTACTCTAAGCATTTTGGGAATAAGAAGACAGTCTTGTTTGGGAACCTCTTGGAGGCCTCCTGGTGGTCAGATAAAATACTGTGTGGTCACTGATTGTCATGAAATATGAACAGGTAGTTATGATCCACAGAGGATAATTCCTAATGATTTTGGTGATGCTACCGATTCACTCTTGAACAACAGATTTCTCTTAAGTTGCTCTTAAAGTATGGTGTTCATGGTTCTCTCAGAGCAAATTCTAAAGATTCACATTGACTGCTACACTTTTGATTTTCTAAACCTTTGGCCTCTCCTGTGGTGCCCGGCTCAGGTCAAACACATTCATAAACCACTCCGATCAAGACTTTTGTTTGGTAGGCTGTAATGAACATTGCAACCTCTAGGGGGCCAGTCGCACTTTACACTTTAAGTCTTATTTTTACACAACAACCTTCACCTGCCTCATAGTAGGTGGGGAACACACATGCTACATAAAATAGTGAGTAGTGGTCAGTTTTATAGCATTTGTTGTCCTAATATCTACACCTATAAGGTGCTTTGGATAAAGCCAGTCAGTGGCATCTACATGTTCTTACCTGCACCAGGCCTGAGAAGCAGCCGGCAGTGAAGACCTGTGCAGCAGAGGCCGGCTTACCTTGACTGCGGTCACTGCGCTGAGACTGAGTGAGGTAATCTAAGGCATTACTGTAAGAGCCAAAGACAAAAGAGTTGACGATGCCCGTGGTCATCACTGGAAATGCCATGCCCTTGAAGAATCCATGGAGCTGATATAATGAAGAGACAAATATGCATGCTTTAAAACGTTCTGTAATGTGTTTTTCTAAGTGCGACTGGTTGTATTTGTGCAGTGATATCTGGTGAAACCATTTAAGACACATACCCCTTCATGAGAGTATGTTTTAGCCACACAGTGAAAAATCCCTTTATACACAGACTGGGCCTGCAGGCGCACCTACACATGAAACATGAGGAGTCAGAAAAAGGCTACTTTTGTGCATTTAGTCATGTTTATAGGTTTCAGTATCTCTGCATACAACCTTCACTGTGTCTAATGGGTGTCCAACTGCCAGTCCCACTGCACCTGCAATAACCAGCAAGGAAATGTTATTTCTCCACATGTATACAAACACTATATTAACTCTCATGAATACGTTTCTTTGTTGTTTTTTCTTTACCTGAAATGCTCCCAGCTATGAATTCCAAAAAAGGCATGACTGGCACAATTTCACAGCCTGCAAAGAAGACCAATGTGTTTGACCTGTTACAGAGATAAAACACCTGAGGATGCAGATTTACAGCTGCTATAAAGCAAACTGACTGTGGTTTGGTAGCCTAGGATAGTTAATATATGACTGACAGTTAAGTATGGGTATATGTTTACATCCAATTAAGGCCAAAGGTGATTGTAAAATCCTGTTAAACTAATAAAAATAAACGTTCAAACTGAATGGCTTTTTTTTGCACAAGTATTCCTCTTTTTTTTGCCAAACGTCTTATGTAACTTTGGGGGGTTTAACATCACACGATTGGGCACATTTACTTTTCAGAGCATTGTTCACAACTCTTCATTTGACATTTAACGTTACCTCCGTTAGTGTTTAACGTTGTTAGTCTGAGTATTACAGTTACTAAGATTAAAAGATACATATCGCGTGTAAAAACCGTAAAAACCGTAAAAAATGACACATGGAGCTAACTGTCAAACGGTGTATTATTAGACATATTTCGTGCAAAAGGAGGTTTGTTAATGAACACTACCTTGCCTACCTTTCGTAAGCGTCACCTCATTGTATGAATACCTCCATACCTGGCTCAGTGTTTATCACCCTGTTGTTGCAGTGTCACAACTAATGACTGCTCTCGGACAGTCTCCAAGTTACACACATTTAATAGAACATTTCCTGTTTGACACGGCTTCGTTTTCAAAATAAAAGCCACCTTAAAATACGTCACTGTAAGAAATATAATTTAATCTGGTTTACCCTTATGTCAAGTTGTCTAAAACCACTTCTTGCAGTTAATGTTTTCTATGGCACTCACCCATTTAAGATTGTGTAATGGGGCCCAGAAGTATCTTATCTTTCAATTACATTTTTGACATGTTTATGTCTTCCGGGTGTGTAACATTTTGTTTTGAAAGTAAAACCGCATGATTTCCGCTAATATTACTGCGCTTGTTTTGATTTTTCTTGTGTGGTCGAAGTCTTTTTTTGTTTGTTTCTGAGACTTAAATCTAGTAAAATAAACACCATCCATTTATTCTTTGTCAGTTCTTTATGTCTATGGAGCTGAACACCAAACACACCGCATCTGGCAAAACATGGCATCAGTAACTTCATCCCGTGGATAAAAAGCACTGCAGTATTTGGAGCGTGCAAGTGCAAACAAGTTTATTGTGATAACTGTATTTCAGGACATTGGATTTTAACTTTTAATTTTTTTTACTTTGCTTGTATTTTTTGTTATGTTTTATTCAGCCACAAGTGAACACAAACTAGTTTTGCTAGCAATAGTTATCTGGTGCTTTCAACCCATATATGTATTGCCTATCAGCAGATCTCTGTTGATGCATTGCTAGGAACTGTTGTCATCTTATTCTTACTTGTTTTTTGACTATTTTTTGGCCTTTAGAAAGTTAGATCAGTCAGATGACTAATTTGGCCAGTCACGGACATTCTGCTGTCAGACCTTTGAAACTCCTTGGTTACTGTGTCTGTTTCTTCAGGATCATTATCCTGCTGCGTTGCAAATGCAGCACACAAACTTCACTTTTTCTGTTTCAAATTCAATGTGTCTTTAAGCTCAATACTGTCCAAACACTAATATAAATAAACTCAATTTTCATGTCCTTAAAACTTTTTAGGTGTTTTTCTGGAGTGTTTTCCACCAAACTGATATTAATTATGGGGGAAACATGAGGCTGTATCGAAATACTCACTATGAACCTTTTACCCTCATATCAGTGAAACTTTTACTTGTTGTACATTAGCCTTATAAACTGCAGGGAGACAAACTCATTAGAAAGCATAATGATAAGTCCCAGTTCTTAAACAATGGAGACACACAAGACAGAGCTGTTCATTTGTCAAACGAGGCTATGTGAGTGTTTTTAGAGATTTTTATGGTATTAGAGAACTCCTGTATCCACAATAGGAAGGAGGGCAGTGGAGCTCTGTTCAGTCTATGATCAGGGTGCACCTGACTCACATAACTTTATCCAGGGATGAGTTAGGGGTTTCACTCAGCATTACAGCATCCAGTGATCTGCCTTGGATTGGGATTGTACAGGGCTTTGGATGACATATGTCATGGTTCTGCTGCTGAATATAAAACAAATTAAACCAGAGGGAAATTGTTGAATACACAGTATAAGGAAACAAACAGCAACAGTAGATTTCAAATGCAATAAAATAAAATATATTAAATAATTATTAAGATTTAGTGGTAAAGATGTTATTGCTAGAAATACATCTATATGTATAGATTGTGCTGTCTATCAGACACAATGAAACATTTACCAATGTACAGTCCAGTGGCAGCCTTTCTTTTGGTCATAGTCATAACAGTCAGTCAACACTGATGAGCTGATTGTATCGGGACTGCATAGAAGAAATAAATACATTTGCTATGAATACATCACAGTTTCAATAAAGGGAAAATTACATACAACAGACAACTCTGTACCCTCCTCTCATTGCATACTGCTTACTATTAATATAACTATTCACAAAAATGTCCATATCCACCAATGATATTTTGGGAGGGGGTCAATTGTGCAGAAACACTTCTAATAACCTGCAGAAGCAAGAAATATCAAGGTACAGACAAACAACGTCATCACCGGTGGACGCTGAGCTGCTTGTAAACAAACTACGGGTGACGCCAATGTAATGCGCCGTGAAGCGTTGAATTAGCGGAGGAGAAGCCGCGTCTCGGGTCGTCGTACTGTTTCTGTCCGCTGCTGGTTTTAAAATGAGTCTCTGTGTGTTATAACACTGCGTCAGTGACCGTAGAAACCCGTCGTCATGCC